TAAACCGACCAATAAAGGCAAGTTAAAATAATACCCTTAATAAAAACAAGGTAAAATAGTCTGACAAATAAAGGCAAGATAAAAAAATCCGACCAATAAAGGCAAGAGGTAATAATCTGACCAATAAAGGCAAGATGAAATAATCCAACTAATAAAAGCAAGTTAAAATAGTCCGACCAATAAAGTCAAGATAAATAATCCGATCATTAAAGGCAAGAGGTAATAATCCGACCAATAAAGTCAAGATAAAATAATCCAACTAATAAAAGCAAGTTAAATTAGTCCGACCAATAAGGGCAAGAGGTAATAATCTGACCAATAAAGGCAAGATGAAATAATCCAACTAATAAAAGCAAGTTAAAATAGTCCGACCAATAAAGTCAAGATAAATAATCCGATCATTAAAGGCAAGAGGTAATAATCCGACCAATAAAGGCAAGATGAAATAATCCAACTAATAAAAGCAAGTTAAATTAGTCCGACCAATAAGGGCAAGATAAAAAAATCCGACCAATAAAGGCAAGAGGTAATAATTTGACCACTAAATGCAAGATGAAATAATCCAACTAATAAAAGCAAGTTAAAATAGTCCGACCAATAAAGGCAAATTAAAAGAATCCGACCAAAGAAGGCAAGATAAAATAATCCGACTAATAAAAGCAAGTTAAAATAGTCCGACCAATAAAGGCAAGATAAGAAAATCCGACCAATAAAGGCAAGGGGTAATAATCTGACCAATAAAGTCAAGATAAAATAATCCAACTAATAAAAGCAAGTTAAAATAGTCCGACCAATAAAGGCAAGATAAAAAAATCCGACCAATAAAGGCAATAGGTAATAAGCCGACCAATAAAAGCAAGTTAAAATAGTCCGACCAATAAAGGCAGTAGCTGTTAAATGAGTGACAAGAAAGATTTAATGCATTTTTAATGTCAGTTCTTTATATAATTTTTGTGTTCAACGACTCTAAAAACATCACAGTTAATTGTTTGAAAAGGATTTTTTTTGTTTTGAAAAATATTCCTTTATATTGTGTCCAATATTTTGAATTTTTTAAAATCTAACATGAAATTCGTAATTAGCGACCTAAAAAAGCCCCGAGTAACAAGTTTTAAGTGAATCCGATGACTTTTTACAAAACTCGTCCTCCATATTGGATCCGCCATTTTGAATTTTTTAAATCTGACATTTAATTTATAATAAGCGACCCCAAAAACCCCCGTGTTTCGAGTTTCAAGTAAATCCGATGATTTTTTAAAAACACTCGCCTGACATATTAGGTCCGCCATATTGGATTCACCATATTTAATTTTTTTAGTTTAACATGTGATTCGTATTTAGAAGTCAAAAATCTTAAAGGAACTATTTCGACTTTCTTTTTAACCTTATTATTCGAGTATAAAAGTTAAATCGCTATTTTGCCATTATTTGACATGGTCATCTTTGACCCTCTATATTTCCTAAACGGGACATATGCTTACCTTGGAATTTTGCAGGAATTATTTGGTCATCATATATGACCATTTGGTATAAAAAAAGTTTCAAAATTCGAGGTACGAAAAACGGGCATTTTTTGCATGGGGCTTGCCAAGGCTCTTTCTTACGGTTTCTAAGTGCGGTGCTGCTATTCGCACTATTTATTTTACGTTTCCGCTGTCAGATAACTTAAAAGCTCAGGCGGTTCACTCAAAGTGACATTACCCTAATATTTCAAAAAATCCGTACGTATTTCGCTAGATAATTATATCACAAACCGATTACATCACGTCCACCGATTTTTAAAATACAGTTTTGAGAAAAACGCGTTTAAAAATTATCTTTTAACTTGAGATATGGATATATGTGTGATTCTTCCGAAAGACTCATTTTTGTTAGATGGAAATAAAAAAAAGAAAAATTTTATTTCTTGTACTCTAAAACATTGAATCATATTTAGATTTAATAGATTTAATACTTCTGTACTTTGGTCATGCAGTTTTATAATTATTAATAAAGATTGTTAACATTAAAATTTAAAGAAAAAACGCGATGTTAAACTTTGTTGCAGGTGTTTTTTTCGAAGGAAAAGACAACTTCGCAGCTTTCGAATTTCAAAATCAATAATGAAATTAAACAATTTTTTTCGATTTAAAGAAATAAAGTTTTTTAAAGCTGGTAGAAATGGAGAATTTATTAGAAAAATAATTTTAATTGACAAGATTTCTAGGTTTATTTTTCACTAACACAATAGAAACAATTGATAGTTTATTTAATAATTTTAGCTTGAGACAAACCACTGCATGAAAAAGCCAGAGGAATGACATTCTCAATGTTTTTATATTTTTATGTTACAGCAATAGATTTTCTGTAAACTTAAAATGTCTTATCATGTTTGTAGATAATAACTTTACTGGAAAATTTTTTTAAATAATAATTTACATCTATTAATGTTTCGTTTTTAATTCGGTTCACAGTAATTACGACTTAGATTGTGAAATTCTAAGTTCATCTCAATTTATATATTGTTTTACTTTAAATAATTTTTTTTTTAAAAAGTCAAAAATGTTTTTTAAGTCATATTTATACTTGACAAAACAATACAAGTAGTTAAGCTAGGCGGGTTCTGGACCACTTACCTACAGTCGGTAAGGTAGATTTCTTTAATAGTGAACTCTCAAGTGGCTTAGAAGGGGTGTTCTGTTTTACCGACCGAGTTTTTAGTACCGGCCGCCACCGCTAGATGGCGCCACTTTATTTTTGTTCAATTTAAACCCCCTTAGAGGGGTATTTAAACTTTTATTTTTGAATTTTCAAGTGGCTTAGAAGGGATATTCTGTTTTACCGACATCTGAGTTCCAGGTACCACCGAGAGATGGCGCCACATGTGAATTCTGACCCACTTGGTGGGATATTTAAATTTTTATTTTTAAACTTTCAAGTGGGTTAGAAGGGATAATTTTAAATTTTGCGCCACTAAGTGAAAGTTGGTTGGTGTTCTACTTTACCGACTTTGATGATAATGCTCCTATAAAAATGCCGGTAAATTACCGACTGTTAGGTTTAAATTCGATTGTTTGAATTTATTATTAAAAAAGAAAGTTTTTAAATTAAATCGAATTTAGACTTAACTGTATCGAAAAGAGATTTTCGATAAATTTTTAAATAAAAGAAAATACTCAGTATTTATATCTTTAGAAATAAAACCTTAAATTCTTTAAAGTAATAATTATTATTATTATTAGAATTTAATAAAGGATCCCCCCTTTAAGTGCACTATTACTTCAGTGCCTCCGATTAGACGGTACTTTAATTGAAAGAAGTAAAAAAAAGGAAAAGGTGGCAACAGTATAACAACTGTAATAAAACACTAAATGTAATATAAGTGGAATGTAATATACTCAGTTTTATTAATTTTAATGCGATTGAAATTAATATAAAATCTTACAAATGATCAAGATTTTTAATTCCCCTTAAAATCTTTTATGCTTATAACGAGTAATAATTATTATTGTAAAATATCCCTTCTTAATAAAACATGATCTATTTGAATTCTCAAATCGTGTATAACAATACAACTTTTATGATAACTTAACTATTATTTGTTGCATACAAGATAATTTTTTGTATATATATTTTTATACGTGTAGAATATGGTTATGTGTAAATGTAATCATGTATAAAATAATGTGATAAATAGTAATCGACTCACCAACTTACAATTTTATTAATTTTTTTTCCGTGCAGAAAAGTATCCTGTTACTTTTCTCAAGTGAATCACTCAGATTCACACCTGGGACAGGTTCCTTATATGAATTATTTCTTCCTCTTTTTTAATTATTTTTTTCGTATTTTCCTTCAATTGTTTATTTTTTTGTTTCTAGTTCCTTATTATTATTATTATTATCAGTATTATACTTTAAATTACTTTTATAAAAAAATGATATCAAAAATTGATTTTAATGTTTAAAGTTCGGGGTCACCGAATTTAAACTTGTAATCAAACCTGATATTATTTTGACAATGACAAATGATAAAATATTCTTAAAAAGCACTAGACGGAGGTTTGATATTTAACACTCCCTTTTTACTTAGCTTATTTTAATTTCACTTTTCGTTAATTCACTTTATCAACACAATGTATTCTTAACTGATTATCTTTTCTTTAATTTCCTTTTTTTTTATTTTTTTAAATAGTATTTCACTTAGTATTCACTTTTAGTATTTGTATTCTTTTAAATTATTTATTTCTTTAAATTCGCGTAAAATATTAGAAATTCTCAATTCAATTCACTTTATTCAATCAATTAAAACAATTCAAAATCAACCCTTATTTCTGGGGACAAAAAAAAATATAAACCTCCGCCTTTTGCGGGAAATAAAACAAATAAAATATATCAAACATCCGCCTTGCGGGAAATGATAATTAAGACTCCTCGATTATTCCACCTGTGATTTTGGTCACACCCTGGAATTCGGTTCAGAATCGGTAAAGTGGGGGATTCCGTTGCACACGGCCCCTCGAACTTATTGTTACTAGGCAAGCTTTTTGCAAGCAGACTACTTTCAGGTTTTCAGGGTTCCAGATTTTCTTGAGAGTTTTCAGAGATTTTTTTTCGATTTGATTTTCAGAGACAATTTTTCAGAGTGTTTTTTTCGTTTTGAATTTAGGAGTTATTTATTTTTATTATAGGTTTTTTTTATTTTTGTGTTCTATTTTGCATTAGTTTTAAGTTGGTGGTGGTTTTTTATTTTAGGGTTTTCTTATTTTCAGATTTATTTTCTAGTTTTTATTGTACTTTTTTCAGGTTTTGTTTATTTTTTTACTTCTATTGTGTTTTAGGTTTAAGGTTGTGGTTTTTTTTCTATTACAGGGTTTTCTTATTTTTAGATTTATCTTTTCTTTAGTTTTAAGTGTACATTTTCAGGTTTTGTTTATTTTAACAGTTTTTTAGGATTTTTTATCCTTGTTTTAGTTGTTCCTTTTTTAGAATTTTTCTGGATTTATAGGTACAACTTTTAAGATGCCCAAGTGTAAGGAGAAATCACGACGACGAATGAATCTCAAGGACTACAATGAGGTGTGTGAGGAGGCTGACAACTTTATCAAACTTGCAGAGCGAGGACTCAGCACCACGATGACTATGACAGGTGACGATAAGCTTATTAAAACTTTTGAATGTCAAAACAAGTGTGAGCGTTACAAAAACATAATGCGTAATTTTTTGAAAAAATATGAATTTTTACCTTATCAAAAATCAAGATGTTTGAATTTAAACCAAAAGATAGAATATTTGTGTTGCCATTTTGAAGTATTAATTAAACGCGGTGCGGGTGTGCAAATGGAGAATGAAAGATTGAAATGGGTAAATTTTGATAAGGCATTCGATGATCGTTTACAAACCAGTGCTATTATGAATTTATCGTATAAAGATATTAACTTGTTCTTGGATGATGCCTTTGCTTTATTCGAAATTAATATTCAAAAAGCTTTAAACAGGTTTGGTCCACTAAAAGTTTATACCGTGTTAGGCGCGAAATTTGTTAAAGATTCCATTGACGGTAAAACACAAGAAATATCAGATTTAAAGACATTTATCGCGAAAACCGGTGAAATTTTAGTTACAACCCCATTAGATGACTGGTACAATGTTCATGTTAAACAAGTAACCCTAAAAAGAATGGAGGAATTCCAAGAGAAAGATTCTAATTGGAGACTTCATTCTATTGAAAGGTTGGAAGTTAACATTAACAAATACAACCCAATGCGTGCAAGCTCGTATATCAATTTGCCATCTGCTATCAATAGAAAACATGCCTGCATAAATGTTCAAAACGCTGATAACACATGTTTTAAATGGTCAATATTGTCAGCGTTATATCCCTCAGATAATAAGCATGCACACAGAGTTGCAAAATACAGGCAATATGAAGATTCACTCGATTTTACTGGAATTGAATTTCCAGTTGCACTTAAAGATATTTCAAAGTTTGAGACTTTAAACAACATTTCAGTCAACGTTTACGGCCTTGTCAAAAGAGATGAAAAATTTAGTGTTTCACCTCTACATCTATCATCACAAAAGAAAATTCATCATGTTAACCTTTTACGAGTTGAAGACCACTACATTGATGAAAATCACGAAGAAGAAGAAGAGGAGGAGGAGGAGGATGAAGTTGCTATCATGTCATTCAACTACCATTATGTCTGGATCAAGGATTTGTCGAGACTCGTCAGTTCAGACTTATCAAAGAAGAAGAACAAAAAATACATCTGTGATCGCTGCTTACACTATTTTGGAGAAGAATCTAAGCTGAACGAACATGAAGAAACTTGTAGAGTGATGAACGACACAAGAATTAAATTGCCTCAACTTGGAAAAAATATCCTTGAATTTCAACATTTCCAAAACAAAGAACGTGTGCCTTTTATTATCTATGCGGATTGTGAGAGTCTTTTAATTCCTACAGAAGCACCAAAAGAAATATTCAATACAGAAGTGTTTCAAAATCATGAAACTCTCAGTATTAGATATTACTTGAAGTGCGCTTTTGATGATTCTTTGTCTGTATACAAAGCATCTCCAAGAGATGAGGAGTATCCAGCAAAGTGGTTTTCAAAGGAATTAAAAAATTTGGCTGACAATATAGATTCTCTATTTAAAAATCCTGTGCCCATGGAAACTCTAAGTTCTCAGCAATGGGTAGCTTTTCGAAATGATAGCACATGTCATATTTGTAAAAAGAAAATCGAGCCTGGACAAGTAAAAGTAAGAGACCATTGTCATCTAACAGGGAAGTTTCGTGGACCCGCGCATCAAGAATGTAATATTAATTACCATGAATCGCAAACCATACCTGTTGTCTTTCATAACCTAAGCGGCTATGATGCACACTTTATTATTGAATCTATTGCTACTGAATTTGAAGGTAATGTTTATCTCCTCCCCATAAATAAAGAAAAATATATTAGTTTTACTAAAAATGTAAAAGGTAGTTTTATCAAATTTCGTTTTATCGATTCTTTTAAATTCATGGCATCATCATTGGACAAGTTAGCATCCTATCTTAATGAGTACAAAATTGTTAATTCTGTTTTTTCCAACTATAGTGATGACAAAATTCAATTGTTAACGCGAAAAGTAGTTTTTCCCTACGAGTACATTGATTCAAGGGAAAAACTCAATGAAACAGAGTTACCACCCAAAGAAAAATTTTATAGCACTTTAAACGATTCGAATGTCTCTGATGATGATTATACCCACGCGCAGAAAGTTTGGAATGAATTCAATTGTCAAAATCTCGGTGATTACGTATACTTGTACATGCAAACCGATATATTGTTACTCGCGGACATTTTTGAAAATTTTAGAAATCAATGTTTAGTCGCGTACGGTCTTGACGCAGCGCATTATTATACAACACCGGGACTAACATGGGATGCCATGTTGAAGTACACGGAAATAAGATTGGAACTCCTCACTGACATTGACATGGTAATGTTTATAGAACGTGGTATAAGAGGTGGAGTGAGTCAGTGCATGAATCGTTACGCAAAAGCTAATAATCATTATATGAAGAATTACAATGAGAGTGAGGAAACATCTTATATCATGTACTTTGACGCTAACAACCTGTACGGTTGGGCAATGGTTCAGTCACTTTCCTATGGTGGCTTTAAGTGGGTAGAGAATGTCGATAATAGTTTTGATTTCAATGTTGCAGACGATGCGCCTACGGGTTACATTTTGGAAGTTGATTTGGATTATCCAGATCAGCTTCATGATAAACACAGCGATTTTCCATTTTGTCCAGAACGCTCGAAGCCACCAGTGTCAAAACAGGAGAAGCTCCTAACTACCCTCCTACCGAAACGAAAGCACGTTCTCCATTATCGTGCCTTAAAACAAGCTATTGACAACGGTCTCGTGTTAGTTAAAATTCATCGCGTCTTGAAATTCGAACAATCCATGTGGTTAAAAAGTTACATCGACTTTAATACTACGAAAAGAACAAATGCCAGTAATGAATTTGAGAAAAACTTGTTTAAATTAATGAACAACGCGGTATTTGGCAAAACAATAGAGAACGTGCGAAAACATGTTGATATTAAACTCGTAACAAAGTGGGAGGGTAGATATGGAGCTGAAGCTTTAATTTCCAAACCTAACTTCCACAGCAGAGCCATTTTCAATGAAAACTTGGTTGCTGTGGAACTTAGAAAAATGGAAGTTCTAATGAACAAACCACTTTATATTGGTTTAACCGTGCTAGATGTTTCAAAAACGCTAATCTATGATTTTCACTATGATTATATGCTGAAAAAATATGATGAAAAGAAACTAAAATTGTTGTACACTGACACCGATAGCCTTATTTATGGAATCAAGTGCTGTAACATTTACGAAGACATGAAGAAAGATATTCAAAAGTTTGATACCTCTGATTACCCAACAAATAACGTGTACAATATTCCGCAAGCCAACAAAAAAGTTTTAGGTCTCATGAAAGATGAGTGCAGTGGAAAAATTGGAACAGAATTTGTTGGCTTGCGGAGCAAAATGTACAGCGTTCGCGTAGAAGAGAAAGATTTAATAAAAAAGGCTAAAGGTGTCAAAGCAGGAGTTGTGAAGAAAAATATTGACTTTGATGATTATGTTTATTGTCTGCGAAATGTTAAAATCCAATCGAGGACGCAATATTGTATTCGGTCGAAACTGCACAATGTACAAACATTAAAGCAAACGAAGATTGCACTTAGCCCATATGATGATAAAAGATATTTATTAGCAAACAGCACTGACACCCTTGCATGGGGTCATTGTAAAATAGTACAATATATGCACGATGATAATGATGATGAACCAATGTAAATAGACAATAATTTGTTTAAAAAAAGGATGAGGAGGAGCAAATAGTTTGAATAAAAGATTTTATACATTTTATTTCATGTTTACTTTATTAAAAAAAAACCTTAATCTAGTTACATCAATTTAACATATTTTATATTATTCTAACTAATATTAACTTATTTTAACTATACTTTAACTTTATTTAACTATATTTTAACTTTATTTAACTATATTTTAACTTTATTTAACTATATTTTAACTTTACTTTAACTTATTTTAACGTTACTTAAACTTATTTTAACGTTACTTTAACTATACTTTAACATTACTTTAACTATACTTTAACGTTAACTATATTACATATCAGATTTTTTTATCCAACTATTATGTGAGCTATCGAATCCAAGCCATTTCACATATACATCATTACCACGAGTCTTGAGAACTTTTTCTATGAGGTAAACATCTGGATATTGGACTTTCAGCAATTCTTCTTCATAGAAACCACCTTCGATGGGTTGATTTTGATAATCTTTCAGCTTGTATGTAACTGGTTTTGTTGATTTAACTTTTTCCACAGTGAATATTTCCGTTTTCCAGTTGGGAGTATATCCTTTTTCAAAGATATTTTTAAATTTGCTAACTCGAACTCTGTCTGCAACTTTGAATTTTGATCTTTTCAACGGAATTCTACGTAGTTTACGGATACGTCTCAACAGTTCTCTTGTATCTTCTACGGTGACATCTTTGGGTTTCATACCAATAGTACGATGCTTTTTATTATTGTACTTTGACATGAGAGTTGGTAAAAGATTAATCCATTTATAATTGCCTTGTAAGCTGAATTCAGGCCACATCATATTTTTCAGAGTGCGATTAAATCTTTCAACAATTCAGGCTTTCAAATTACTATAGGTAGAATAGAGATTAATATTGAATTCTTGCATTAAACTCTTAAATACAGAATTGTAAAATTCTTTGCCTCTATCAGTATGCAAATTTTTTGGAATTCGGCCTTGTTTTAGAATAGTTTTCATGGCCAAAGAAATATCCTTTCCATTCTTACTCTTTACAGGTACAGCCCAGGCATATTTGGAAAATATGTCTATAACTGTGAGCATGTATTTGAAACCTTTATTAGAATAAGAATAAGGTATCATTTCAACCAAATCTGCTTGCCAGGTTTCATCAATACCACGCATTTGAACTTTTCGACGAGGATAATTTTTTCTAGCTTGTCTATGCAATTCTTTAACAACAGTTAACTTTTCACCGTCCATTTTCAAGATGGGTTAAACGTGAATATAACTTAGCGATATATTTAGCGTTTTGAAGAGGTAGTTCAAGTTGTAACTCAGTTTCAATCTACTTAAGTTTTTCGTTAATTCTTTCTTCAATAGATTGAATAAGAATAGTCAAGTCATCAATAGCTGATCTTGAAGAAGTTGTAACTGCAAAGACGGTTTTTATTTCGTTTTTAACAATTTTTTTTACTTGTCTTAAATTTACTGCGTCGTGTTACTCTTCAGCGTCTTGAACGTTGCAAAGTCTTTTGTTATCAATGTCGTATTGTCCACTTGGAGTAATTTTAAAACCAATTCCAGAAGGTCCAGGAAGTCCACGACTTGCAAGAGGCCGTGACAAGGGATGTCCAAACACATCAATGCTCATTTTAATACTAAGCTTTATTTGCTTGTACTCTCCTAATATATAATGCGAGCCTCACGTAGTTCTTCAATGATTGACATAATTTCATTATTATGGCTCGGATTTCCAGCTTGCTGCGATGCTACTAGCAGGCGTAATCGGTCAACCAATTCATTTGGATCATCCCAATAGATATAGTCTGGTTCAAATTGTTTCTTTGAAATCATAAATTGAGGTAATTTCTTTCCAAGATTCTTCTTCCTGTTTAAAACACCACTTCCCTTCTTTGGTGTACCCTTAAAAAGTTTTGCAATGACATCAGTGTATTTAGAATTCCTGGTTACGTTGACAAGTCCACTGGAACTATAATTTTTTCGGTGTGCATTTGTAGCTACAAGAATTTCTTTATAATTTTCCAAATCATCTGAACTTATTAATGCATGATTAGGTTCTTGTCTAAATAAAAGTTCAAGCAACCCAGCAGTTTTTAAATATTTTTTCTTTCCAGCAAGTTGAATATGTGAACCTTCTAAATCAACTAGTGTATCTCCAATTATAAAAGAACCATTAGGAAGCTTACGTACTCCATAAACCATGTCTAAATATTTTTTTCTGTTTTTATTCAATAATTGAATAAATTTATTTGTCAAATTTTCATAATTAAGTTCTTCTTCTTCTTCTTCAAACTTGTTGCTCTTATCAAGTAGAGTGTCATTAAGTAGTGTTTTATCAAGTTCCTCTTCCTCATCAACAGCAGTTGAGAAAGAAAAATCATTTTCCTCCTTTTTAACTTTCTCTTTTTTAATATTTTTGAAAGGTATGTCAGTTATGTTCACCAACTTTTCCAGAGGTGTTACTATTGGTTGAAGAGTTTCTTTTAATACTGTTTCTGCAGCCTCTTTACCCATTTTGAGTAAACGATGTTTTCGCCTAATAGCATCACTTGCTTTTGCTATTTGACGAAGTGTTTCTTGCTCTTTTCGATACATGTTTTCTTTGAGACAAGATAATCTATACTAATTAAAAATTCAATGAACTTCTTGTATTTATAGTGTAATAAAGCAATCAAATCCTCTTCTATATCTCCCATCATTAAAATTACGGTCCTTATCAATAACAACAAATCCATATTTATCAGATTTCCAACATTCTGAACATAAATCGCGAAATTGAGTTTAACTCATATCTGTATTAACATGATCTTCGTATACATGTTTCAGATTTTTTTCATCTTGTCTAAATAGAACCAATAAATTAACATTATCTCGAACTAGATGTTTAGGAATACGAGCATACGTATGACATAAATAGAAGCTGTCAACGTTTACATGTCTACCCATACAAAAGAAAGCTCTAACATTATCTTGCTTTTCACAAGCAATGTCATCAAAAATGAATATTGAATTTGGTTTAGCGTCTTTTGGAGATACTACTTCTTCATGTTCACTAAATGGAAAGTACTCAACGCCATTCACGTTACCGATGACATTTTCCAAAAATTTATATTTCGGTTGCTGCAGAGATTTAGAGTAGAGGTAAATATTTTCAAAACTTAGACCATTTGGATGTATTATTAGGGAAAGAAGAGCATTCGTTTTGCCACAATTTGAAGGGCCACAGAAAACAGGTCGAATGCTGTCTGAAAACAGACTACCATAACGTTTAATCTTTTTTTCGTTTGTTTCTATATCTATACTAGTGATTGGCAGCGCGACAGGTTGTTTCGTGAACTGCATCTTGACAGTAACTACCCTAAAATGTATAAATACCTAGCTTATATAGTCATTTTGTCAGTTTCACGACAACCTTTGTAGAGTGAAGTATGATTCTGCATCAGGAGGTGAAAAAAGAACGCTACCAAGGAAAAGGTTTAATTAATCGTATCATCAATAGTTTACCGTTTGAGTTACATTTACCAGGATACCAATTTTGTGGGCCTGGGACAAAGTTAGCAAAGCGTTTGTCTCGAGGTGACCAAGGAATTAATCCACTGGACGCTGCATGTAAACAACACGACATTGCATATTCGCAAAATCGTGAAAATATTGAAGCAAGAAACGAAGCAGATAAAGTATTAGCTAAGAAAGCTTGGGAACGTTTTACAGCTAAAGATTCTGGTGTAAGTGAACGAGCAGCTGCTTTAGCTATTTCAGGAACCATGAAAGCTAAATCTAAATTAGGTATGGGGATGAAGAGAAGGAGAAAATCATCCATTAGAAAGAAAAAAAGAAAAACAATATGTAGGAAGAAAAGGATAGCATTAAGAAAAATTGTAGATGCAGCGCGAAAAAGTATGGTTCCCAGTAATAATGCTGAAGAATCAATTAGAGCAGCTATAATTGGTGCACGAAAAGCAATAAAAAATGTTGGTGGTAAATCCAAAGTTCTATCACCTAGAATTCTTCCTGTACCTACTAAAGTAGGTGGAATTTTACCGCTAGTTCCAATTTTTGCTGGACTTAGTGCTTTAGGAGCTCTTGCTGGAGGAGCTTCAGGAATAGCAAGGGCTGTTAATAAGGCTAAAACAGCCAGTGAACAGCTTTCAGAAGCTCAGCGTCACAATAAAACAATGGAAGCTATATCGCTTGGAAAAGGATTGCACCTTAAACCTTATCGACAAGGACTTGGTCTCCACTTGAAACCGTACGTTCAAGGAAAAGGAATTAAAAAACGAGCATCAAGAAAGAAGAAGAAGAAACGAGCATCAAGAAAAAAGAGAACAACAAGAAGGAAAACAAAAAACTTGTTTTGAAGCTACCTCACAGACCATTAACTGACTTTGATCTGTTAAAGTATGCCAAAGCTGCCAAAATACCTCATTTTCGTGGTATTTTTATACGAAATGAACTACCTGTATGTGGCCCTAACAAGTATGAATCAGGAATAATTAATCTTGATAATAAAGAAGGTGCAGGAACACATTGGGTAGCAGATAAAAAATTTAGAAATGAAACAATGTATTTTGATAGTTTTGGCAACCTTGCTCCACCAACAGATCTTGTCATTTACTTGGGTGATGGTAGCTTAATAAAATATAATCATAAAAGATTTCAAAATTATGATACATTTGTATGTGGGCACTTGTGTCTTAAATTTTTATGTAATCAACTAAATATTAAGAGTAGCTTTAACCTATATAAAAGTGTGTAACTATTGTAAGCTTTCAGTATAAAATCTGATAGCAAGATGAGTGGTTCATTTACTTTAACGTTAACGGGAAATTCTTCAGTTCTCGAAGCTGAATATTTCCCACCAATAGAGCTAAATTCAAATAAAAGTTATGTACTTGGTCTTGTTGAACTATTGACTTTTAATTCAATTCCCAATATTGATAAAGGAAATAACAAATTTTACGTTGGAAATCAAGTAATTGACATTTCAACTGGAAGTTATGAAATTAAAGATATTGAGTCATATTTACAAAATTCTGTAGAAATCGGAACTGTTATTAGTATAAAACCGAATAATAATACTTTGCGCAGTGTAGTTAAATCCAATTTACCAATTGATTTTAACCCTAAAGACTCAATTGGTACTTTGTTGGGATTTACATCTCAGCTTCTAGAACCTCATAGAGCACATACTTCTGATTTACCTGTAGCCATTCTAAAGGTCAATTCAGTGAGAATTGAGTGCAACATAACATCTGGAGCATATATAAATAATCAAAAAGTCCACACCATTCATGAGTTCTTCCCCAGCGTTCCACCAGGATATAAGATTGTGGAAGTGCCAGCTCACGTCATTTACCTTCCGATTGCCACCAAGACAATACATAATATACAGTTGAGAATTGTTGATCAGGACGGTGATTTAATAAATTTTAGAGGAGAAACTATAACAATTCGATTGCATATAAAGTCTTTGTAATGGGAATCGTTTATAATCAAAGAGCTGTTGTTGGTGGAAACTATAAAAGTCAACCAATATGCAAGAGTCCAATCAGTCTAAATGGTATTGAAATTGATCGCTGCAAATACGTTGGACATACTACAATCATGAAAAATTACACCTCGCAAACATCAAATCAGCTAAATTTTATTGAAAATGCTGGATATTCCAAAATTGCAGCTGATGCAAGACTTGTATTGGAAAATGGATATTTTGACGTCACAATACCACTCAGCATGATTTTTGGTTTTGCCGAAGATTATAGAAAAATCATTATGAACGCTAAACATGAACTTATTTTAACAAGAGCACGTTCTGACGTGAATGCCGTAATTCAAACAGGAAAAGGAGGGGATGAAGAATTCAAAATTTCCATCAATAAACTTGAATGGATGGTTCCATACGTTTTACCTTCTGACAATAACAAAGTTAAATTGTTAAAATTTATTGAAAAGGATCCATTAATTTCAATAAGTTTCAGGTCGTGGGAAATGTATGAGTATCCTTTAATTCCTACAAGTTCAAAAGTTTTGTGGCAAATTAAAACATCAACGCAATTAGAGAAACCTCGTTATGTTATTGTTGGATTTCAAACATCGAGGAAAGATAAACGAAAAAAATATGCCTGTCATTTTGACCATTGTAATATTACAAACGTTAAACTCTTTTTAAATTCACAATATTATCCTTATGGAAATTTAAATCTAAACTTTGATCAAAATCAGTACTCTCTACTTTGTGAATGTTACGGTATAACCTAACATTAACTCAAATTTAAAATTAATATTTGATTCCTTAATTTTTTTTCTAATTTTTCAAATTAATATTAAAATCCTCTCCCCACATTTCTTTTAAACCTATGCTCAGCTGAAAGGTGATATCTTGAGATATCACAAAGCATAAGCCTACATCAGCACCGCACCGGAAACGAAGTTGGGCTGTTTAAGCGCTTTTATTATAACTAGAAATAAAAGACTAGTTAAGTAAAATTTATGATTTTCAGGAACCCATTAAAATAATATTACTATAATTTTATACATATACATATCATACGAGCTATATTTTATCCGGATGTCTTGGGGTTTACCCTAAAATATCCTGGGATATCCCGTATATTTTGGTTTTAAAAGTTATAAGGAATTACATGTGGATATCCTGGGATATCCTGTATGTTTTTAGTTCAGATATCGTAGGGATTGCTTGCGAATATCCTGGGACATTCCATAAATTTTTGGTCCGGATATCTTGGGGTTTACCCTGAAATATCCTGGGACATCCCGCATATTTTAGTGTTTAGTATTATAGAGATTGCATGTAGATATCCTGTGATATCCTGTATATTTTTACTTTGAGTGTTATAGGAATTACGTGTGGATATCCTGGGATATCATGTATGTTTTTAGTTTTAATATGGTAAGAATCACAGGTGGATATCATGGGATGTCCCGTGTATCTTTAATTTGAATGTCGTGGGAATTGCTTGCGGATATCCTGGGACATTCTATACATCTTTAGTTCGGATATCATGGGAACCACATGTGGGTGTCCTGGGATATCCTACATATTTTAGTTTAGGTATCATAGAAATTACTCTGGGATGTCCTGGGATGTTCTGCATATTGCTGTTTTATTGCGTACACTTTAAAAGTAATTTTTATATAAGGTAAAATTGTAATTAAAAGTTATAAGAAGAAAATAATCATTTGTATGTACGTCGCCTTTTAAACCTATACATCTTTGGGTGGCTATGGCAATACGCACGCATAAATATAATTCCTTAAGACAGCACTAGCATAGCGGCACGCACACATGCATTCTACATATGGTACAGACCACTCATACATAGTTGGCCTCTACTCGTTGCTTCTTCTTCTTCGTTCCATCCTTCCCTCTTCCCCTAGGCCCCATGTGCTTTCAAACAAACGCACGTGCAACGATTCGAATAAAATATTATTTCCTTTTAAACCCAACAAAATAAAGGGAAATTATTTATTCAAAATTATTTTCCCCATTCAAAATTATGAGGTGTTTCTGAGATTATTGAACAATTATAACCAGAGCACCAGCACTAATTATTAGTGCAATATTATTAATAAATAATTAAGTTATTTATTAATAATAGCAATAAATAATTTTTTTTATTTTTTATTAATTATTAATTTTTTTTATTATTAAATTTTTTTTTAACTTTTTGGAATTATTCGAAAATAATAATTCCAGAAAAGTATCAAATTTCACTTTTCTCGCCTGCTAAACAAACGCACGTGCGATGACTTGAATTAAGTATTATTTCTTTTCAAGCTCAACTAAATTAAAAGGAAAATTTCAAAATTTTTGTCGCACATTTCAAAATTATATGGTGTTTCTTAGTTATTGAACAATTATAACTAGAACACTAGCACTAATTTTAGTGCAATTTTGTTTATAATTATAAATAATGTTATTAATTATAATTATAAATAATTTTTTTTTATGCAATAACAATAATGATAAACAATTTTTTTTTATAAATTTTTTTACTTTTGGAATTATTTGAAAATAATAATTCCAGAAAAGTATCAAATTTTTCCTGACGGCTTTCCGTTCTCACGCTAAGCGTGAGATTCGCAAGTCAGCAAAAATCTTCTTGACCAATGGGCCTTAAGTTCCAACCCTACTTCTACTCCCACAACCACCTCTTCTAATCCCAAATCTTCCCCCAGATTTAGAAGCAAGGACTAGAGGAGCAATTAACATTTTCAAAATCTGCAGTACAACTTTTGCTCTCCAAGTAGACTCCTCGTGGAGATACTCACGGATTGTAAAACGCCGGGACGCGCCCGTCTATTAATCGACCCCTAGCCTGATAGACCACTACGAGATAGTGTCTAGGACCTAGGATAGACGAAAATAAATAAAAAGGTAAAAGCTTCACGAAAGTAAAGCCCGACCAAATTTAGTTATTTTCGCTATCTCAAAACCTAAATTTTAAAATTAAATTTTGACTCGCGAATTAATTAAAATTGCACAAATTAATTCCAATAGTGAATTGTTAGTGTGTGTGTGAATTGTTTAGGCCATCCAAGGAAAAAGGGCCTAAAACAATAAAACTTATTAAAACAGCTAAAATTTTCGCCCGTCAAGCATCTCAAAACTTGGCGGTAGGATAAGGTTACCATAGAATTAAGGAATAAAGGAGATCGAGTGAGTAATTGTATCGTTCCCTATTACAATTTTTCTTTATATCTTTCTGTAGTCTTTTCTGTTTAAAGTTATAATAAATCGTAAATTTATATTTCGAAATTTTCTGTTTTCTTATTGTCTTCTAACTTTCCTTTTCATATTAAATTCTTTAACTATTTAATATAAAAATGTCAAAATGATGTTGCTTGGCGAACTCTTTTAAAAGAGATAAACGGACCCCATAAAATAAAAACAGGGCCATTCGGCCCTGGCAGCTTGATTTCCTCCAACGAACCTCCGCAGGCGCGCGGTAAACTTCATTTCATTGCTCAACATTTTAATTTTTATTCTTCGAATTTTTGACTTTTAGGTTATCTTTCTTGATTTTTAATAATTAAAAATAATAATAATTTTCGGTTCGTAACAGTGAAATGTACGCTAATTTTCAATCATCCTATTATGGTAAAGATTCAAAACCTATTTTAACAAAGGATATTTTTAAAAGTCTGTTTCCTTTAATTGTTATTGATTGTTCTAAACAAAATGAGTTTCTAAAACAAGCGTCAGTTGATGTGCGTTTAGAATTTGAAGCAGGAATCAACATGCCGGCTGAAACCACTGCCTATTGCCTAATTATCCATGACCGCGTCATACAATATAAACCAATCAGCGGTGTTGTAAAGAAATTATTGTAAAGGAGTAGGGATAATGTGGTGGTAGTGGGGGTGATTACTATAAAAGCAGCTCCTCTCGGCTAGAAATTCATTCCTGCTTCAACATGGAGTTTATCGTGGACGTTCAAGGTTTTAAAAGAGCCAATAACGAGTTTGTCTTTAAAGAATTGGCAATACTTCCACTGCAATCGGATGCTCTACCACTTGTTTTACTGTTTGAACCTCCTTGTCCTTGGAATTCACTGTCAGGACGCTACAAAAGTGAAAATCTATGGCTAACTCATAATTACCATGGAATTGATTGGGCTGCTGGAGATGTCCCTTACAATGAAGTTCGACTTATTCTACAAGGAATCCTGCGAGGTGCTAGTGCCATCTATGTTAAAGGATTCGAAAAGATGACATGGCTAGAGACATACATACTAAATGTATATAATTTAGAAGATTATAATTGTCCATCGTTGAAAAAACTTGAGAACAAATTGTTAACTACTTGTAAACATCATACTTTTCATAGTGAAAATTGTGCTGCAAAAAATGTTAAACTTCTCCAAGAATGGTTTTTAGAACCTTCAAACCAATATATCAGTGCCGCTGTTAAAGGAATTGATGAAACTGACTCTACAATTAATACTACTGCTTTAAAATCTTTCTACGAAAATTGTGAATCTTTTTTGTAAAATATAGATATTAAGTTTTCAAAATAAATATTATTAATTAAAAATTTAAAACAATGATTCTTAATTTCAAAAACAACCTATCCTTTAAAGTTTCATTAAAATATTATATTTTTCTTTATAATTCTTTAAAATAAAACTTATTCTAATTCTGAAACATAACTTATACTAAGAAGAGAAGGAAAGTAAATTTAAAACCAATTTATAGATAAAACTTTGTGTGTTTATTTTTTCAAAAATTTTTTCTTTAAATATATATACATTTTCTTTTTTACAATTTATTGTAACAATTTAAACTCAACAACATTATACGATCCTCCAAAATACTTCATTTGAAGTTTTTTCGATATTGCTGCTTCTTTCATCATTTCCAAGGTGACTGGTTCATCCTCGAAGAGTTTGATGAATCTTGTTGGTAGATATGTGATGAAATCAGCATCAATTTCGACTATGATCCTTGGTCCATATTTGGTCTGGACCTTTTTCATTTTTGTGACGTAATAAAGTTCATCTTTCATCAATTCCGCAAGCGGCTTCGTCGGCAGGTATCCTTCAAAGCGACAAACGGCGTTAATTTTTTCAAGATCCATTTCTGATGTAAAAAAACCTAAATAGAAAAGAAAAATTGCTCTTAGATGCAAATAATCCTTTAAGAGAGAGAGAATAGAAAAACAAAGTGCTTAAAATAAAAAAAAGATAAAACAGTAGATTATAAATAAATAAATAAAATAAAGTAGTTGAAAAGAAACCTGAAAATAAAAACAAAATGTTGAAAAGAAACATGAAAATAAAAAACAAAATGCTGAAAAGAAACCTGAAAAGGAAAAGATAGAGAAGCTTATACTTACTTTTACTAAGAAGAACTGAAAGAAAAAGGGACTTTCGTGACTTGGGAGTCGCTTTATATATCCACTTCCCCACTTTTTTTCTACATCCCCCCCACCCCACCCCACAAAAATGCGCACTCAGGTGTGTACCCTCTTTAAAATGCGCGAGAGTTGATTAAACTTTGAAAAATTAGAAGAAAATTTATTTTTTAGAAATTTTTATTTCACATTATATATAAACCTTTTTTTTCTCATTAATAAATATACTAAACGTTACGTTGGTCTTCCCCACAGTTCTTCACACATCTGAAATAGTAAATTTTGAACTTTAAGCATCTTATTTCACTTTTAAGATTTAATTTGAAGTAAAAATATACTAACCTCATCAATTTCTATATCAATCACTAAAATATCATTTTCATATTCGAAATTATCCTCTTCATTATTGAAATCATCGTCATGATCATCATCATCTTCATTATTAGAATCCTCGATATCATCATCAACAGTATTATCATCATCATCATCATTTGAATTAGAGTCACTGATAATGACGGTGTCCCCTTGTGAATTATAATCATCGTTGAGGACGACGAAATAGTCATTACTCTCTTCATTAAGGATCATGGACTCGTCATCATCGCTATATATATTTGTAGATGGTGAGTTTGGTGGGACTGTGGACTTATCCATTTTTTTTATATCTTAAAATCAAAATTAATTTTTTATTATAAATAAGATTGCAAATTTTTTTTAATGTATGTAAATAAAGCAGTTTTTGACCAAATCTGAGAAAAAAATATGTTTACTTATTACAAAATTTCTGAATTCAAAAAAATTTTTAAACAGCCTTATATAAATACGACGTAGAAATTGGATATAAAATTTACTAGAAATTAAGCTGGAATTTTATTGTAAAATATTCTAATTTTCTATAAGAACTCTAAAAAACGGGTATCCAAAAATACTTATACAATAAAAGAATGTTAAAAAAAATTCTATTTACAAAGAAAGTTTAGAAGCCACATATATACTGTAAACTTAGCATCTACCTGTAAGACCTGTAAGATTGAAAGACCTGAAAAGAATGATTCAACCGGCTCTCCAGCGGCAGCTCGTAACCGGCAGCCTCCCCACCACAGCTTACCCCTACTACTCCACACTCGTGGGGCCACTCTATACATCCACTATGGCTTGATCGACCACTTTTAAAAGCTTTGGATATTTTGGAAACACCTTATTTTCACTCCATGGTTTAATAGAAGACCCGCGCGGTTTAATTTTCAATACATATTTAATTTTTAATGCATATTTAAAATACCTAAAATTTATTTAAATATTTCTAATTTAATAAAGAGTTAATATTATTTTAATAACATTCAATCTAGTATATGAATTTAAATGTCAGAAAGTTTTCAAACTAAATTAATTATAGTATTAGTTTTATAATTAAAAAAATCAATTTCTAATTAATAAAAAAATGTTGTTATAAAGAACGTTTAAATTTATAAATAAATAAAAAAAATGTAAATAAAATACTTTTCTGAAAGCAAAGTGAATACCAGAAATTAATTTAGTCATAGGAAAATAGGAAAATAGTAATATTTATTAAAAATAGTATTACATTTGTTCGTTTAACAAATTTTTAAGTTTTTTTTTTAAACAAACATTGAAAATATAATTTTGTTTTTTTTTATGTTTTATTAAGACACATGTTTAATATTTAGTAACACGTTTTTCTATTTTTTTAATCACAATCATTTAAACGACTTATTTTTTTAAATGAATAATAGAATCTTTTAAAAGAAAACATACTTCTTGTAACATAATACAATGAAATTTCTTTTTTAATAAATTTAAAAAAAATGAAAAGAAAAAAAAATTATAATTGTTTTAAACTGTCAAGAACTGAAAATATGTTTATTAACAAAATAATGACCAATCGTAACGTTTTTTTTAAACAGAAAAATATTTCGACTAACAGTAACTTCGTAGGCTTTTACACATGTAATAAACACGCTAATATTCATATCTTCGCTACACGTTGATAATTTTTTTCAATTTTTTTTAATAAACTTATTTTAAGTACTTGATAGTTTAAAACAATTATGATTTAATATTTCTTTCAATTTATCTATTTTTGTAATTAAATAATAAAATCTTTTAAACGATTAATAGATTCTTTTTAAAAGAAAACATATTTCTTGTAACATAGTACAATGAAATTTCTTTTTTAATAAATTAAAAAAAAAACGAAAAAATGAAAAGAAAAAATAAATTATAATTGTTTTAAACTGTCAAGAACTGAAAATATGTTTATTAAAAAAATAATGACCAAACGTAACGTTTTTTTTAAACAGAAAAATATATCGAATAACAGTAACTTCGTAGGCTTTTACACATGTAATAAACACGCTAATATTCATATCTTCGCTACACGTTGATAATTTTTTTCAATTTTTTTTTTAATAAACTTATTTTAAGTACTTGATAGTTTAAAACAATTATGATTTAATATTTCTTTCAATTTATCTATTTTTGTAATTAAATAATACAATCTTTTAAACGATTAATAGATTCTTTTTAAAATAAAACATATTTCTTGTAACATAGTACAATGAAATTTCTTTTTTAATAAATTTAAAAAAAAACGAAAAAATGAAAAGAAAAAATAAATTATAATTGTTTTAAACTGTCAAGAACTTGAAATATGTTTATTAAAAAAATAATGACCAAACGTGGCGTTTTTTTAAACAGAAAAATATTTCGACTAACATAGAAATATGTCATTTTTATTTAAGAAAACAAAACTAAAATATAAAAAAAAATTTTAAAATAAAATAAAAATGGCAATCTAAATGAATTCATGAGTAAAAAAAACCTGTACATGACGACATCCTCATTCTTTTTTTCCTTTTTTATCCTCCTTGTCCTTATCACTTCCAGCCGTTTTTCTTTTCCCTGTTATCGGTTTTACTTTTGTGGATACTCGTACGCAAGGATACAAATTTAACTGTGAATTATTTGGCACTTCCACGGATGATGACGAAGCTGTCGGATTTGACACTTGCGCGGCCGTTGACAAACTCGAAGGATTTGGCACTTCCGCGGATGTTGACGAACCTGTCGGATTTGACACTTCTGCAGCCGTTGCCAAACTCGAAGGAATCGGTACCTTCACAGACGAACCGGAAGAGCTTGACGAACTAGACGAACTAGACGAACTTGACGAACTAGAACTTGATGATTTTCGTGATGGTCTATTTTCCATTTTTGGAGTAGGAATATACTGAATGTCCTCAACTTTGTTGTTGTATTCTGTAGGAGGAGTATATTTTTCTGTTTGTTCCCAACGGGTTGTTTTTGTCCTAGTGGAGTCCATTTTCTGATCCTATTAATTAATTTATTATTATTATTATTATTATTATTATTATAATTTATTATTATTTTTATTATTATTATTATTATTATTATTATTATTATTATTATTTTTTCTTTTTTGTAGTCGGAAGTGGAAAATCTGTGAATTCAGATACCTGAACAATGAATTTCAGGTTATGTGGGGATGACCGCTCCTGTTTTGGTCGACCCACTAAAAACCACTCCCGTCTTGTTTTGGGACATTTGATCCACATGCGGTACTACCGTCAGGCCTTGAACTTCGCAAGTGGTTGTCCCCTTGTCCTACTCCTTAGCGTGCTTTTAATCCGCCTATACAATATGGGAGCGTGGGTGGGAGGAAAAACTAGTTGCTTTCCTCCCCCCACGCTCCCACACCGATGAGCATTGGATTCCTCCGGTCAACCTCGTCTTCCGTCTCTATCTTTTTCCCCCATTATTCTAATAATGAAAGTTTCAATATGCCTCCAGGAGTCCACGTTTTGAACCATGGTAGACACCATGTTATCGACGTTGATTTCAAAGCCAACTGCCGTGAACATAGCCATTCTATCATGGTTCCAATGCCCGCAATGAAAGAGAGTATGCTCCGCGTCATCTACTGAAGCGTCACAGTAGGCGCATTTTGCTTCTCTCTTAATCTTGAACCTATGAAGGTTCTGTCGGAAACATCCGTGACCTGACAACACCTGGGTCAGGTAGTAGCCAACTTCACCGTGCTTTCTGTCGAGCCAAGTGGCTAGGTTGGGGATCAGGCGGTATGTCCACCTTCCTTTAGGATCCCCATCCCATCTCTCTTGCCATCTTTCAACGAGTCTACATCTCGCCTCTTTTCGGATAACCGCTTTGAGGAGATTTCTACTCTGTTGTTCTTGCGAGGAAGCTCGATGTTTATTGAGTTGGAAGACTTCCTGTCTTTCCCTCGCCAGTAAATCTACTGGCGGAAGGCTCGCAAGAACCAAAGCAGCGCTCGTTGAAACTGTTCTGTAGGCTGAAACTACTCTCCGCGCACAACCACCCTGCGCAGAGAGTAGCTCATCAGAGATGCCGCGGTTCTTTAGGGACTAAGCCCATGCAGGTGCAGCGTAAAGCTGCTTTGCCTGAACCACGGTCGCCACAAGTCGGCGTTTCCTTTCCCTGGGGCCACCGACATTGGGCATCATCCTAGATAGGTTTCCCATACAGTCGGCGGCATTCAGTGACGTGATCTTAGCATGTTGGTCGAACTTTAATTTTCGATCCAACGTCACTCCCAGGTACTTCAGACTGTTTCCCCAGGAGACAGTTTGTCCTATACGAATCTTCAGGACTGTAAAGGATCTCTTACCCGTCACGAGCAAAGCTTCTGTCTTCTCTATAGCCATTTGCAGACCGTTGAGATCTAACCAGAACTTCGCTCGTCTCAGACTGTCGTTGATCCTTATTTCCAGAATCTCAGGACTTTCCGCGCCACACACTATAATAACGTCGTCCGCAAAGCCAACCATTATCGTATCTTCAGGTAAATCCATTCTAAGGAAGTCATCGTACATGACGTTCCATATGAATGGACCTACCTTTGATCCTTGGGGAGCTCCGCATATCATTTCATGTTTGAGATGACATGCATCGCTCTTGTATTCAACCCATCTGCTGCTAAGATAGTTCTCTATCATTCGCAACAGATAGGTTGGTACCCCTTTACGACGCATCGCCTCGATGCAATTGTCCCACCTTGCGGAATTAAACGCATTACGTATGTCGATGGAGACAAGCGCGCAGAATCCTTTCTTCTTGTCCTCTTTGACTTTCTTTGCCTGGTTTACAACAGTGAGTATTGCATCGACTGTTGACCGGCCTTTCCGAAAGCCAAATTGATTCTCCGATAGGCTATTTTCGCCTATTAGGATTTCCTGAAGTCTCTGTAGAACCATTCCCTCTAGAAATTTTCCCATCGTATCCAATAAACAAATTGGTCTGAACGATGTGACCTTATCCAGAGGTTTATCGCCTTTCCTGAGAAGGACCAACTTCTGCGTTTTCCAGTCATCGAAGAACTCTCCGGCTTTCAAGCACGTATTAAAGACGTCAAGAAGCAACTGTGGATCCACTGCGACAACCTGTTTTAAGATTTCGCTCGGGATGCCATCATTGCCCGGCGCTTTGCCGTTTCTTAACGTCTTTGCCACTTTTTTTAATTCTTCAATCGTGAAGAGCTCCTCGTCTCGTACTACGCAGTGAGTATAGTCCTCTCTGGGGCTAGGTTCCACATAGGGAAACAGTGCCTTTATAATTTCTAGGACCCAAATCGGATCATCCAAACCAGGGGTTTTATGCCTTGTTATTAATTTCTTAGCGACAATCTTAAAGGCCAAACCCCACGGATCCTTCTCGGAATCTTCGATCAGGTCCTTCCAGCAACGGCGTTGGCTACTTTTCACGGCCTGCTTAAAAGTCCGCCTGGCTTTATGCCATGTTTCCCGCAGCTGGAGGTTTCCCTTAGAATGGGTAAACTTCCTCCTAGCTGCGTTGCAATCTCTCTTAAGACAGGCTAGTTCTTCATTCCACCAGTACATAGATCCCTTTCCAGTTTTTCTTTTCTGCCGGCGAGGCATAGAGTGATTGCAAGCTTGTACTTGCAAGTAAGAGATTGAGATTGAGATTGCTAAGCTCGCCTTGCCTCTCGCACTATACCCTTTAAAGAAGCCGGTTTCCTCACCCAGTTTAGTTCTCGAATAAATCGCGACTCTTCCAGGGATTCCACCAGCTTCTCCCTGTTTACCCTCCTGAGGTTCCAAGAGGGGCTCTTGCTACCATATTTAGGAGCGACGCGCCCTCTGGAATTCTCCTCGGAGACTAAAAACTCTATGTACTGGTGGTCACTCATTGTTTCCTCGTCCAGTACCCTCCATTCACTTGTTCTGCGGGCTAGTCGGGGAGACGCAATTGTTAAATCAAGAATAGATCCTGATACTCCCCTCCTAAACGTGAACTCCTTGCCCCGGTTCAAAACCACCAGGCCATTTGCGGAGATCATGTCAGTGACCAAGGTCCCCCTCCTGTCAAGACGAGTCTCTCCCCATTCCGGTGACTTACTATTGAAATTACCCGCAATGAGGACATCCCCGACGCAAGTCTTAAGACTTTCCTCAAGAGAGAGGATCTCGGTATCGAATTTTGCAAGGGGATCATTTGGGGAGAAGTAGCAGCTGTAAATTCGAACACCCGCAACCTCTACCCAAACGAAACCGTCACCTGTTTCCAAAAATTTCCCGATGGCAAGCCCGGGGTTGCATATCATTATGCCTGATCTCCTTGATGCATCCTGAAACCAGTTTGAGTATATATGCTTCTTATACTGCTCATTTATAAGCAGTACATCAGCTCCTCTCTCCCTGGCAGTCTGCATCAGGAGATCTTGAGCGACGCGTCCTCTGCCGAGGTTGACCTGGAGGAACCTTAACTCCTTGCCCTTAGCTTTCTGAGTTCCTCCTTATAAATTGGTCAGGACCCAGTTCCTGGATTGTGGTTGATCTCCTTCTCTCCTTTGTCCACACAAGTTAAACAAACAGGTTTGTTTTTACAATCCTTGTGGGAATGATCAGGAGAGCCACATTTCCAGCAAACCTTGCCTCGGTCCGGCTTCTGACAGGTTTTTGACAGATGCCCATAGCAAAGACACCTGAAGCATCTGTCCACCTCGATTCTAGGCCGGATCCTGCAATTAATCCAGCCGACCTTCACCCTGGCCGTCTTCAGTAGCGCATCCGCGTCTGCTTCCTGGAGTTGCACAATAGCAAGTTTTTCTCCACGGCTCAGGGGAATAAGTCGACAAGACATTTCCAAGTCGGTCCTGCCCAAAGTTTGTCGGACCGCCTGGGTTACCTCCTCAACACTCGTTGCCTCGTCTAGGTCTCTAATCTCTAGAGACTTTTTTGTCAAAATATGTGAGACGTCCGCCTTATCCTTAAGGGCGTCAGCCACTTTTCAACTAAAATTAGAGACCTCTTGATTTCTTCGAAGAACGACAAGCATCTCTTGCTTTCTAGACCTCTTGATTGACAGGATTTCTGTCCCAGTGTCAGCTGGATTGACGGACGCCTTCATATGAGCAAGGATTTTTTCGTAAGACTCATTACATGTCACCCTTATTCTAATTGCCTCCGTATTTCTCTTTTTTACTTTAGAAGTCGAATTCGTCATCTTCTCTTTCTGTGTCTCCTTTTCATTTTTTTTCTTTTTCTTCTTTTTGGAGACTTTTCTCCACTCTTTCTCAGCACTAACAGTCTGAGGCCCATTTGAGGAAGAACTTTTATCCTCCTTCAGGACTTCGTCAGACTGTTTTTTCTTCGGCACTCTGTCTTCCGGAGACGACGAAGCTTCTCTTTTCTGAGCTTGTGCCGAAGAAGTTTGTCCCTTTGATTTGGGTTTTGGCGTCTCTGGATTGCGATTTAGAGTATTTAACGCTCTTGCAGGACTAGCCATGCGGAATACTCCAGGCGTCTCCAATGTTTTTTGGAGCTTATCAGCTGACGCCTGAAGAGTTAAGCTTGAGCTTCTTACGGTTCCGAAAACTTCCTTAGCGATGTTTACTCTAACCTTGAGTTCATTTGGGGTGTTTTTTATGTACGCCCCTTCAATCGCTAGGATGGCCTTCTCCAAAGCTTCAGTCTGCTTCTTTTGTTCCGCTACCACTTCCATCAGCACTCTGCAAGGCGCTGCCCACGGGGGTGTGAAGGAACCTCTCCTTTGATGTGTAGCTCCTTTCTGTAACTGCACTTCGGCAGCAGGAGCTACAGCTATATGTTTATCTTTCTTTTTTGTGGAAGGAAACTCATACACTTCGGCTAAAACCTCAATTTCTTGAGGCGTCTCAACGCAGGTTTTAAGAGACACTATTTCTCCGGTTCCAATTTTCTCTTCACCTTCTTCAATAATCTCAATTATGTCCATATTTTCTACTTTATTATTCTCCATGTAATCATTTTACCAGCGCATCGTCTG